AAAAACTAGACACATAGGTTTGCGTTGAACTTCGCTTCGCGTGGAAAATGGAAAAATTCAAGGAGCTTCATTCCCGAAATGTAAACAAACACTTTTTCCACATCTGATTTACACAAATACAACAAAAACAAACTTTATTTTTTCTTATTTTATAACAGAAAAAGCATTAAAACTGTGAAACTTTAAAATTGCATATCTCTGGAACCAGAAGAGAGCGCCACAAAATTCAAAGTGCTTATTACTTAGGAATGTGTCCTCTATAATATATGTGAAAATGAAAACGATTCGTGAGGTGTAAGTTAATCTGAACATTTACCGCGATTTATTATATTTTTTTTATAGACATTTGAATTTTCGGTCAATCTGTACATATATACACACACACACACACATACACACATACGGGATATTCTTTTAAAATGTGATTTTTCAATGTTTTGGAACATTCTGAATACATCGACATAGAAAATTGGAAAAAAAATTTTTACAAAAACAAAGCTTCCTCTATGAGAAAACAAAATTGCCAAAGATCTTATTAGTATAATATTTCATATTCTCTGTATGTATATGTATATATTTGTATGTTAATAAAGAGATGTAAAATAATGCGGAAGTAAATGCATGACAGTAAAGGCACATCAACAGATTCAACTAGTTTCATACTATGCCATTCTGTAATAATCTGTGCTAAAATAAAGTCTTGCTTACATATATGTATATGTATTGATATGTGTTTAGTATTACAAAAATCAGTTAACTCACTCTGAAATTTCCTATTCGATCAGCTAACATACCGGCAAGCGGCGGCATCACTACGGCTACAAGAGGAATGATGGAACTCATTATCGCAGTTTCTTCTATATTTATTCCCAGTTCTCTCATGTGTATAGTTAAATATGGATACAATACATAAAGTGCTAAAAAAGATCATAAACAGAATTCGTTGTTACGCTAAAAGTATTCTTTCAAAATTTTATTTATTTTTAAAATTTTATTAAATTATTTTATTATACATAATATACTTATAATAAAAGTAAAATAAAAAAAGTGCATCTTATTAAATCTAATAAAAAAACTGCTTTAACTAAATTACTTACTGGATGCTTGCACAAAAAATATTAACTTCAATGGCATCAACTTCTTTTGATGAAAATCTTTGCTTATCCTTCTAAAGAAACTCTTGAGCATTGTCATCTTGACGTATTTTGTACGTTTCCGAATTTTGATCAAAATTAATTAATTTAACTGAAATATTCAGCTTGTATTGTGCATATTTCTTTCGCACGTCACGTGTGCAATTCTCATTTCCTTTGTTTGCCTTTAAAAAAAATTCCGATATTTCTTGAAATAATTTTTCATAAAACGATTTTATGCGTAACACAATTTCTGTTTAATTATAAAATGACACTTTTATAAATAATATGAACAATAATTTGTGATTTCGCTCTTTCGTAATTATAGAAATATACGTAATAACCATGGCACATACGATAGCAAGTACTGTGTTGATATGAATGTCATGTCTTCTACATAACGGTTTCGTAATACATTCTACCTTGTAACATACATACATCAACATCAACATCAAAAACTTCCTTTCATTAAAATAAATTTGAAACTCGTTAACTATGATTGAAATGTTTTATTAAGAAAATTCGATGTTTGTACTATATTTAATAATTTATTGTAGAGGAGATATATATTTTAAAACTTGCTATTAAAAATTTACAATTTGATATATAAAAACTTACTATTTAGTTGATATTATTACTGTTTTTCCACTGTTTTTTAACTGTAGTTATAGTCGGATTATTATAGAAAATACTATTGCTCCATCTGCATTGCAGATTACGTGCGCGCGAAGAATACTATAATTGCTAGTCATTACCAATGTTGAGAGTGAAGACCATTGTTTTAATTGCATAACTTATATTTCAGCAGATTATGCGGAAGAAGACGAACGTTATTGTTTCTCTAATAAATCATTTAAGAATGTGCTTTTGAACCAAAAAATATCAAAGATAAATCGCGATTTTTTGAAAACACGTATTTTTTAATAAAACTTATATAAATCTCAAATAACGAGAATTTTATGTATCGTATAATATAAAAAACACATTTGAAGAAATAAACTATACACATATATAAAATACATTTTAGGATACACACATATTAGGATATACAAAATTCTAAATAGATTTCTATCTAGAATTTTTCGTCGCAAATTATAAATTGTCTTAAGCAGGCTCTAATTCTTGAAATTAAAATTAAAAGCATATTCGCAAAGAAAAACTATATCAAAAGTATAGCACACTCCTTTGAATAGAAAAAATTTGGAAAAACGAGAGAAAAATTGCGTACCTTTTTAATATTAATATTGAATACCGTAGGAGAGGAACGGATCTTTAAGAAATACTAATCCGTACAGTATGATGTCAAGCGCAATACTGACACCTCAGGAGAAACCACTGACGAACTGAAAAGAAACAGCGCGCATATTCCAGTAGATTAATCCTTTCTAAGTGCAATGGCATTGCTTCACAAGGTTGCTAAAATATAAAATATACTTTATATTCATGGAAATAGAATAAAGTAAATATCTTTATACAGGGTGTCCCAAGAGGAAAGATCAATATTCTGGAAAGTGATGATATCGGTCATTTTAAGCAAAAATGTTCATATAAACGAGTGTCCTATTTCAAACGGTTTCTGCGATAGAGCTGTTTGAATATACAGTTGCAAAATGAATGATACTACATACTATTTTTAATTTATTGTTCACAAATAACTTCTTTTTTATCATTTTTTATATTTTTCTTTTTTTTTTGGAATAGAAAACACTCATTTATATGAACATTTTTGCTTAAAATGACCGGTACCATCACTTTCCAGAATATTGATCTTTCCTCTTGGGACACCCTGTATAAAGATATTTACTTTATTCTATTTCCATGAATATAAAGTATATTTTATATTTTAGCAACCTTGTGAAGCAATGCCATTGCACTTAGAAAGGATTAATCTACTGGAATATGCGCGCTGTTTCTTTTCAGTTCGTCAGTGGTTTCTCCTGAGGTGTCAGTATTGCGCTTGACATCATACTGTACGGATTAGTATTTCTTAAAGATCCGTTCCTCTCCTACGGTATTCAATATTAATATTAAAAAGGTACGCAATTTTTCTCTCGTTTTTCCAAATTTTTTCTATTCAAAGGAGTGTGCTATACTTTTGATATAGTTTTTCTTTGCGAATATGCTTTTAATTTTAATTTCAAGAATTAGAGCCTGCTTAAGACAATTTATAATTTGCGACGAAAAATTCTAGATAGAAATCTATTTAGAATTTTGTATATCCTAATATGTGTGTATCCTAAAATGTATTTTATATATGTGTATAGTTTATTTCTTCAAATGTGTTTTTTATATTATACGATACATAAAATTCTCGTTATTTGAGATTTATATAAGTTTTATTAAAAAATACGTGTTTTCAAAAAATCGCGATTTATCTTTGATATTTTTTGGTTCAAAAGCACATTCTTAAATGATTTATTAGAGAAACAACAACGTTCGTCTTCTTCCGCATAATCTGCTGAAATATAAGTTATGCAATTAAAACAATGGTCTTCACTCTCAACATTGGTAATGACTAGCAATTATAGTATTCTTCGCGCGCACGTAATCTGCAATGCAGATGGAGCAATAGTATTTTCTATAATAATCCGACTATAACTACAGTTAAAAAACAGTGGAAAAACAGTAATAATATCAACTAAATAGTAAGTTTTTATATATCAAATTGTAAATTTTTAATAGCAAGTTTTAGAATATATATCTCCTCTACAATAAATTATTAAATATAGTACAAACATCGAATTTTCTTAATAAAACATTTCAATCATAGTTAACGAGTTTCAAATTTATTTTAATGAAAGGAAGTTTTTGATGTTGATGTTGATGTATGTATGTTACAAGGTAGAATGTATTACGAAACCGTTATGTAGAAGACATGACATTCATATCAACACAGTACTTGCTATCGTATGTGCCATGGTTATTACGTATATTTCTATAATTACGAAAGAGCGAAATCACAAATTATTGTTCATATTATTTATAAAAGTGTCATTTTATAATTAAACAGAAATTGTGTTACGCATAAAATCGTTTTATGAAAAATTATTTCAAGAAATATCGGAATTTTTTTTAAAGGCAAACAAAGGAAATGAGAATTGCACACGTGACGTGCGAAAGAAATATGCACAATACAAGCTGAATATTTCAGTTAAATTAATTAATTTTGATCAAAATTCGGAAACGTACAAAATACGTCAAGATGACAATGCTCAAGAGTTTCTTTAGAAGGATAAGCAAAGATTTTCATCAAAAGAAGTTGATGCCATTGAAGTTAATATTTTTTGTGCAAGCATCCAGTAAGTAATTTAGTTAAAGCAGTTTTTTTATTAGATTTAATAAGATGCACTTTTTTTATTTTACTTTTATTATAAGTATATTATGTATAATAAAATAATTTAATAAAATTTTAAAAATAAATAAAATTTTGAAAGAATACTTTTAGCGTAACAACGAATTCTGTTTATGATCTTTTTTAGCACTTTATGTATTGTATCCATATTTAACTATACACATGAGAGAACTGGGAATAAATATAGAAGAAACTGCGATAATGAGTTCCATCATTCCTCTTGTAGCCGTAGTGATGCCGCCGCTTGCCGGTATGTTAGCTGATCGAATAGGAAATTTCAGAGTGAGTTAACTGATTTTTGTAATACTAAACACATATCAATACATATACATATATGTAAGCAAGACTTTATTTTAGCACAGATTATTACAGAATGGCATAGTATGAAACTAGTTGAATCTGTTGATGTGCCTTTACTGTCATGCATTTACTTCCGCATTATTTTACATCTCTTTATTAACATACAAATATATACATATACATACAGAGAATATGAAATATTATACTAATAAGATCTTTGGCAATTTTGTTTTCTCATAGAGGAAGCTTTGTTTTTGTAAAAATTTTTTTTCCAATTTTCTATGTCGATGTATTCAGAATGTTCCAAAACATTGAAAAATCACATTTTAAAAGAATATCCCGTATGTGTGTATGTGTGTGTGTGTGTGTATATATGTACAGATTGACCGAAAATTCAAATGTCTATAAAAAAAATATAATAAATCGCGGTAAATGTTCAGATTAACTTACACCTCACGAATCGTTTTCATTTTCACATATATTATAGAGGACACATTCCTAAGTAATAAGCACTTTGAATTTTGTGGCGCTCTCTTCTGGTTCCAGAGATATGCAATTTTAAAGTTTCACAGTTTTAATGCTTTTTCTGTTATAAAATAAGAAAAAATAAAGTTTGTTTTTGTTGTATTTGTGTAAATCAGATGTGGAAAAAGTGTTTGTTTACATTTCGGGAATGAAGCTCCTTGAATTTTTCCATTTTCCACGCGAAGCGAAGTTCAACGCAAACCTATGTGTCTAGTTTTT